TCCCTCGCCGGCGAGAGCGGACAGGCCCCGACACTGACGAGCGGACGGCTCGGTGCGGTCCAATTCCCGGCGACGGACGGCAGACGAACGAAGAGATGGTGAAGGAGAGGAGGGAGAGAGGGTATTCGACGGGAAATTTTGGGATTGGAAGACAAGTTTTGAAAGAGGTTAATTGAAAAGAGAAGTGATTAACAAGAAGGATTTTGTGTCGTAAGTGGGGTGGATTAGGGGAAATTAGTGTTATTATTTTATATCAATATTAATATTATCATTAATTTAGGTAAAGTAGTAATTATCTATAATGATGTTAAATTAGGTTGGTGGTGATTGATATATATGTGGGGTGGGTTAATTAGAGAAGCCGGATTAGTGGAACTGGCTAGTTTGTTTCTCCACAGCGGCAGCAAATCCCGGCCAGTGGTTCCGGCGGCGGGATAGGGAGTTTAGTTAGGTTTTTAAAGGGTTTAAGGGTAAAATAGACTTTTTTTCACCAAACTATGGGCGGCAAATAGTAAATACACGGGCGGCAAATAGCGATTCATAAAAAAAAAACGTTTCCAAGGGAGATAGGCGTACGGTCAGGGAAAATTGCGCTTCTATTTTTACAAAGGCCCAGAAAAGTTATTTAATCAAAAGCCCAAATTACAGAAAATCCGATGGCGTTCTAGGAAGGAGGCATGCCCACGACCAGTGAAAATGAGAAATACTTGCACAATGAAGAAGTAGGTTTCAGTCCGAAATGAGAAACGGCTCGAAAAGCTTCATCTTTATTTAATTGAAGGCCCAAAGGAAATATAATCGACAGCGGTTTGGAAGGGAGATGGGAGAAAGGTTGGGCTAAAGTGGGCTTCCTTTTGACAAAGTCCCAAACAAGCTTATTTTCCATTTAATCAAATGGACCGAGCAACCTCGTTCGACACCGGCCTTCGCACCGTTCTTCTCTCTCTCACCACAACTCCGACGGCATCCAGCGCCTGCGTTCAGGCCACCAGAGGCCGTCCGACGACGGTGTTAGGACCAAGGTTGGTGACGAGTTCCAGGCGCGATAGCGAGAAGTTCAACGACCTAGCCTTCTTCAATACAGGCGGCAGCTACTTCTAGTCGGCGGCGGGTCCTTCAAGAGGGCGGCGGGTAACAAAGGAACAAGACGGAGAGACTGAAAACCTAGTTCTTGCTTTCTCATTCATCAAATCCGCCTCTTATAGGCTTAGCAAACCATACAAACAGACAAGCTTCCATGGACATTGTTTGGCAGCTACTTTGTAAGAATGTATAGTTAACGCATTGCTTTGCAATCAGTGGGGCAAAGGCTTATGTTGAATACAGTGGGCATGACATTGATAATTTTCAAAAGCATGCTCCAGCAATGGAGTCAAAGTTACCATTGATTGTGACAATCAAATCAGTTAGTAGAGTAACTCCTAGACATGACAGTAAATATCAACACGAATTTCGATCCACAATTGCGAGTAAGCTTATCATTCGTTCTTATCAGGACAACTGCAAGGATATCATGAACATGTAAGTTGCTGTATATGGGTTTACCCAACTGATTGGTTCAACCACTATCGAGTTAGTAATACTTACACATTTCTTTTCAACATGTAGCTTTCTTGCATGTCGCAAACCAGTTTACTTCTTCGATGATGCTACTTACAAAAAAACTGGGCACCTGCTGAGCAATCAACTGCAAAAGAAATCGCTGAGAGAGATAAAAGAAAGGATGGAGGACCGTTCAGATTTCACAGAGGTATATGACAAACACCAACATTGACATCAGCTGTATATTTCCATCTGTTTAGCTGTATAATACATCTGACATTTTGCAACAGGTCACTTACATTACATTGATTAACATTCCAAGGTTTATATACAGAAAAAGCATCTGCAAAATTCGTGAAGAGAACACAGGGTAAGCTTTTGACCATCCTCCCGTGTTTACACATGCGATAATAATACTTTTTATATAAACCTAACAAAAAGATCTTTATTGCAAGATTGACATACAAACTGGAAGGGAAATGTTGCCAAGGAGGATCTGATATAGATGTGGTGTTTGAGCATGAAGCAGCTCTGTCACTTATTCGTAAGTCACCGTCAGATTATCTGTTTCTAAAGAAGGACCAAATCATAGAAATGATCGCAAAGAACTGTAACAAAAAATTTGCGGCGGAATTGAACGTCGCATGGAGAAAAGTGGGAGACAGTGATTCAGACATGCAACCAAAAGTGACAGTGCTCACCCTGTGGGACCGATCAGCATTCGAGAAATGATGATGTCCTTCGAAGCTTGCCATTTTGATATCGTGCAAACCACAAAGGCACGAAACTTCTGAAAACATTTTGTTCTGCCAAGCTTGAAATCTTCAGTCTCCGTCATGAAACTTTTATTAATTTAGTAGATATATCGTGGAAAACTTGGAAACACTCCTGACTACATTTATGTTTATTCTCCAAACCCAGTCAGTCTTTTGCATAATGACCCCAGTTTTTATGTTTATGACAACATTTATGTCTATATTTAGGACATAAACGATTATGGTTAGAGATTATATTCATCACATTGAAATTATGACAGAATTAGTATCCCGCGGCGGAGCGCGGGCTGAATCCTAGTTTTCTTATTAATAACAAACCTCCCAACAGAGTGAGCCAGACAAATTCATTCATTACCCTCTTTTTTCCCACTTTGCTTCCTCCTCTGTTTTCTGGTTTGGCCGTTTCTACTCTCAGCTTGAATTTTAAGTAACAGGGTTGCTTGAGCTTTTCTAACTCTCTTGCCTTCTTCATTTTAATTTGTGAATCAACTCTCTTTTTTCCCGAAGCTGGAGTTATGAGCGGCAAAAAAAAGACAGGAAAGAGAGATCGGTAATTGGTGGGTTTGTTTGGCTTGGCGGGATGCATGGATGGGGATTTTAATGTTGGTTTTTAATGTTTTCCAGAATCTAATCAATTAATTAGAGAGTATAATAACCGTCCAACGGCGTTGAAAAACGGAAGTAGAAAGTGGCAACACGAAATGTCATGAGACTGTGTGTCTATGACTCCTCTCTCACATTTATAACGTTCTCTTCTTCCCCGACACTACTCTCTCTTTTTCAAAACAGTACCACCTCCCTCCCTCTCTCTCTCTCTCTCTCTCTCTCTCTCTCTCTCTCCTCTTCTTTCTTCATGAGTAAACCCTACTGACAAAACAAGAAAAGAAAGCTAGTTCTTGTTCTTATCCTCCTTCTCACTAACAAGGATTGTCCAAAAACAAGAAACAGAGGAAGAACACAAGAAGCAGCACCGCCATTTGATGACTTTCTTTTGCTGAACTTGATATTGGTCCGCCTTCTTCTTTTTGGTGGTGAAAAAGTTGTCTGCTTTTAGCCTCTTTGTGGGTTTGTTTCAGACTTTCTTCACTGATCCTGTATCTTCTTCATCCCTGTGACAATGCTGCTTACTCATGGGTGATTCTTGGGTAGTGGGAACCAATCCTCTTTCAAATGGGTAGAAAAGCAAGCAAGTTTCAGTCTTTCTCTTGTTAGAGCTAGCTGCTACCTGATTTGCCTCTTGTGGGTTTTCTGTACAAGTACAACCAGTTGCTGATCTCTGAGAGTTTGTTTGGTTGTTTAGATTTTTGTGCATTTCCTTTCATTGAGATCTTCTCGGACTTTTCCCCTCTGCTTTGACCATCTTTGACTCCTGCAAGACTCGAAGACTTTGATTTTGAAAATAAGAAAGAAAGAAGTGGGAAGGGAAAGGAAGAGAAAGAAAGAAAAAGAAAGTGGTCCCTTTGCGCTGTGGAAGATGGATCTGTTCAAAGTGAGGAAGTTTAGAAGAGCCCACAAGCCAGAGCCGGAGAAGGAATCAGAAGGCAAGCCTGTTCCTAGCCCTGAAGAGCCAAAGAAAGACATCAATGGTGGCGGTGGTGGTGGTGGTGAGGATTTGAGTAAAACCAACAACAAATCGGTGGATGTGGTAGCAGAAGCCGAGGATGACGAGGACGATGACTTCATAACCAATGAGGTGAAGAGAAGGTTAAAAGAATTGAGGAGGAACAGCTTTATGGTGTTGATCCCTGAAGAAGAGTCTTTAGCTGAACAAGAAGAAGAAGAAGAAGATGACGGTGGTGGAGAAGCAGGGGAGGCAATCTGTGGGGAATGGAGGGATGTTGAAGCTGAAGGACGGCAATGGTGGGGTGGGTTTGATGTTGTTTATGATAAGTACTGCGACAGAATGCTCTTCTTTGACCGATTGAGCCTTCTCCAGCTCAATGAAAATGGTAAGCACCAACCCTTTTGCATGTTTAATTCCTGCTTGACGTTGGATGGTAATGGTATCAGTTAGTATGAATTTAGAGAACTGCAGATAGTATCAGTTACTATGGAGTGGCATTCTTTTTATCTTACTAGTGCTGGTAAACTGTTTCCATTACAGGCTGCTGCCATATGCCAACTACTCCATCTCCAAAATCATCGTCGAAGAAGTTACCATCTCCCTTCCGTTGCCTGTCATTGAAGAAATTCGACGACCATGAAGATGAAACAGAGCATCTACAGCAGCCACAGAACGACCCGTACCAAGATCTCGAAACTGCATATGTAGGTCAGATGTGCCTGACTTGGGAGGCACTTCATTGTTTGGTAGCAAACCATACAAACAGACAAGCTTCCATGGACATTGTTTGGTACGCCTCGCCCTGCAGCTAAGGGAGGATGTCAAGGCTGGTGTCTATGTGGAGAATCTCTCAGAGGTTGAAGTACATACGACATAATAAAGCTTTTAACAAAGGTATTTTTTTATCATTCTAACATTTGATGGTTTATGAGTGGATTTGTATGTACTGGTTTCCACTAATGTATCATTTGTTGGATGTAGGCTCCTTGAATAGGAAAGTGACCGCAACAAATATGAACAGAGAGAGCAGTCGATCGCACAACGTGTTTACTTGTGTAATTGAGAGAAGATGGGAAAAGGATTCCACAACTAACCTAAGTTTTGCACGGTTAAACTTGGTTGATTTGGCAGGTTCTGAAAGGTAAGGAGAGGGGAACTTGATGTGATTAAATTATTATCAGCTTTGTTACCGTCCCTTGTGCATTTTGACGAACCATAGGGGTATTGCTATATGCTTTGCAGACAGAAAAGCTCATGTTCTGAGGGTGAAAGTTTAAAAGAAGCTGCAAGCATCAACAGATCATTGTCAATATTAGGGTATTATAGTGATTAGCAATCTTTGCATCCAGTTGTGTTATATTTTATGGTTCAATCTGCGAGCTTTTATGTTATTAATTTGTGGTTCTGCTCATATATTTGATACTTTAATTTTCAGTCGTGTGATAATGAATCTAGTAGATGTGGCAAATGGAAAACAGTCAAACAGAGGAATGCTCCTTATAGAGACTCAAGGTTGACATACCTTCTACAGGTTGACCTTGAATCCATCTGCCTTTCTTGAACAATATTGTGTTTGCAGTGATGTGATGTAATTCTTGAAACTTATGCAGGACTCGCTTGGTGGAAACTAAAAAACAATGATCATTGCTAATGTCAGTCCATCTATTAGGTTGTATTCTTTGATCATTTTATTCTGATTCGATATCTTAATTGCCTCTGTAATTTGGAGTAATTTTTTTTTGTTTTACCCCAATCCTCTCTTTGTTGCAGCTGCGCTATGGAGACACTGAACACTCTAAAGTTTGCTGAAGGAGCTAGACTTATCCGGAACAATGTAAGGTTCTTGAGTAATCTGTCATTTCTCTCTTATTTGAGGTGGTGGGTTAGTATTTTGCTATAGCATGGTGAATATCTGCAGCCACTGTTGAAGAACACAACTGATGACCTGGAGCAAAGAAAATCTGTAGCCACTGTTGACAATGCTGATGTCAAATGCAAAAAGGTCTGAATAGCTTTTAGTGAATTGTTTGCTTATCATATCTCAGTGAACTAGGCTAGTTTATATACATACATACCAAGTGACACATGACAGAAGATGTTCATATATATGTTTTCTTCTCTGACCATATTTATATATAATAAAGCCACCATCTTAGTCCTTAGACTATTCTCAGTAAGATATTCCGGATTCTTTTTGTTCATCCTTGATTTTGCAGGATTCGATTGAGATCGATCTTGCTGCAATAGAAGAAATATTTCATCTGCAGCTGGAATTGGAGATAATGAAGTTAATTATTGCAGAAGTCAGATAATCAAAGAAAGAAGCAGAGGAAAAAGCATTGTCTTTTTCGACTGAGCTTGAGCTGACAAAAGAAAACCTTCTGGTTGTGAACAAGCAGTTTCACAATGTTGCTCATGAGCTGAAAGAGACCAAGTTGGTTCTTGAAATTCTTCAATCAGAACGAGTGTCGATATTGTGTGACATGGAAAAGCTTAAAGAGGAACAAATCTATTTAAAGGACTCACAGGAACTTACATCGCTTCTCCTTGATTGTGTCGAAGGAGCTGAGGCAGAATTCCACTCTCTGAGAAGGCAAATGGGGGAGTTGAAGAAAATGTGCTGTGTTCTTCAACAAACACTTAATGAAGAACAAGAATGCTACAGGTGAAGGAAAAGTTGGCTGGTCTCTTAGCTGTGCTATCCTCACTCTGTGTTTGTGCACAAGATGATGACACTTCTGGATCGGTAAGAGATTGAACCTGGTTCACTTTACTATGAGTATTTTATCATATTCTTTATCAGGGTGTTTGTTTATGTGTTTGATAACTATTGCAGACAAATGAGTCGACTACTGCTATGGAAGATGGAGGGTTATTATTGAGAGATGACATCAAACAGGTGGAAGAAGAGGTTGAAAAATATCATCGTGAGCTGGATTCTGACACGTTTGATGAATACGAAGATGCTAACAAATATGAAGAAAGAGTATACCAAAGATACAATCCGGACACACCTGCACCTTCTTTTCAAGAGGGAACGGAATTTGCTAGTATTCAAGTGGCCAAGTATGCCATTAGGGATCATGCCGTGAAGGACAACAAAAATTTGAGGTTGGTAACAAATTCAAAGAAGGTTTTGAAAGCCAAGTGTCGGTGGCCGGATTGTGAGTTTTCACTCATAGTGCGCTTCGTCGAGAACGTGGATAAGGCTGTACTGAGATCATACAAACCCCACAACTTCCCTACTCATGTCGAAAACAGATGCATAGATGCTGAAGTAATTGCGGCAATATTTAAGGATAGATTGCTCACCATCCCCAGGTTGACAAGTATAGATATTCAGAAGATGGTCGAGAGGGAGATGGGTGTTGGTGTGAGTGGATATTTGTGCAACAAGGCCCAAACCATTGTAGAGACTCTTGATGTGCAGCCGAGAAGAAGCGAAAGGATTAGAGTAAAACGAGAACAAAGATCAACTAGTGATACACAAGAACTTCATTCACAAGACTTCGAGGAAGATGAGGGCTGGAGCTCCACCATTGACTGAAGATGCCAGGTTTCTTTATGTGTTTCATTTTGAGTTTATGCCGTGTCGGTTTTAGTTTGCTAGCTTTTTTATGCGTTTGAGTCGTATAAGGTCATACCTGTTAGTCTTATACGACTCAAACGCATAAAAAAGCTAGCAAACTAAAACCTGTTAGGCATAAACTCAAAATGAAACACATAAAGAAACCTGGCATCTTCAGTCAGTGGTGAAGCTCCAGCCCTCATCTTCCTCGAAGTCTTGTGAATGAAGTTCTTGTGTATCACTAGTTGATCTTTGTTCTCGTTTTACTCTAATCCTTTCGCTTCTTCTCGGCTGCACATTAAGAGTCTCTACAATGGTTTGGGCCTTGTTGCACAAATATCCACTCACACCAACACCCATCTCCCTCTCGACCATCTTCTGAATATCTATACTTGTCAACCTGGGGATGGTGAGCAATCTATCCTTAAATATTGCCGCAATTACTTCAGCATCTATGCATCTGTTTTCGACATGAGTAGGGAAGTTGTGGGGTTTGTATGATCTCAGTACAGCCTTATCCACGTTCTCGACGAAGCGCACTATGAGTGAAAACTCACAATCCGGCCACCGACACTTGGCTTTCAAAACCTTCTTTGAATTTGTTACCAACCTCAAATTCTTGTTGTCCTTCACGGCATGATCCCTAATGGCATACTTGGCCACTTGAATACTAGCAAATTCCATTCCCTCTTGAAAAGAAGGTGCAGGTGTGTCCGGATTGTATCTTTGGTATACTCTTTCTTCATCTTCGTATTCATCAAACGTGTCAGAATCCAGCTCACGATGATATTCTTCAAACTCTTCTTCCACCTGTTTGATGTCATCTCTCAATAATAACCCTCCATCTTCCATAGCAGTAGTCGACTCATTTGTCTGCAATAGTTATCAAACACATAAACAAACACCCTGATAAAGAATATGATAAAATACTCATAGTAAAGTGAACCAGGTTCAATCTCTTACCGATCCAGAAGTGCCATCATCTTGTGCACAAACACAGAGTGAGGATAGCACAGCTAAGAGACCAGCCAACTTTTCCTTCACCTGTAGCATGTCTTGTTCTTCATTAAGTGCTTGTTGAAGAACACTGCACATTTTCTTCAACTCCCCCATTTGCCTTCTCAGAGAGTGGAATTCTGCCTCAGCTCCTTCGACACAATCAAGGAGAAGCGATGTAAGTTCCTGTGAGTCCTTCAAATGGATTTGTTCCTCTTTAAGCTTTTCCATGTCAGACAATATCGACACTCGTTCTGATTGAAGAATTTCAAGAACCAACTTGGTCTCTTTCAGCTCATGAGCAACATTGTGAAACTGCTTGTTCACAACCAGAAGGTTTTCTTTTGCCAACTCAAGCTCAGTCGAAAAAGACAATGTTTTTTCCTCTGCTTCTTTCTTTGATGATCTGACTTCTGCAATAATTAACTTCATTATCTCCAATTCCAGCTGCAGATGAAATATTTCTTCTATTGCAGCAAGATCGATCTCAACCGAATCCTGCAAAATCAAGGATGAACAAAAAGAATCCGGAATATCTTACTGAGAATAGTCTAAGGACTAAGATGGTGGCTTTATTATATATAAATGTGGCCAGAGAAGAAAACATATATATGAACATCTTCTGTCATGTGTCACTTGGTATGTATGTATATAAACTAGCCTATTTCACTGAGATATGATAAGCAAACAATTCACTAAAAGCTATTCAGACCTTTTTGCATTTGGCATCAACATTGTCAACAGTGACTACAGATTTTCTTTGCTCCAGGTCATCAGTTGTGTTCTTCAACAGTGGCTGCAGATATTCACCATGCTATAGCAAAATACTAACCCACCACCTCAAATAAGAGAGAAATGACAGATTACTCAAGAACCTTACATTGTTCCGGATAAGTCTAGCTCCTTCAGCAAACTTTAGAGTGTTCAGTGTCTCCATAGCGCAGCTGCAACAAAGAGAGGATTGAGGTAAAACAAAAGAAAATTACTCCAAATTACAGAGGCAATTAAGATATCGAATCAGAATAAAATGATCAAAGAATACAACCTAATAGATGGGCTGACATTAGCAATGATTATTGTTTTTGAGTTTCCACCAAGCGAGTCCTGCATAAGTTTCAAGAATTACATCACATCACTGCAAACACAATATTGCTCAAGGAAGGCAGATGGATTCAAGGTCAACCTGTAGAAGGTATGTCAACCTTGAGTCTTTATAAGGAACATGCATCTGTTTTCCATTTGCCACATCTACTAGATTCATTATCACACGACTGAAAATTAAAGTATCAAACATATGAGCAGAACCACAAATTAATAACATAAAAGCTCGCAGATTGAACCATAAAATATAACACAACTGGATGCAAAGATTGCTAATCACTATAATACTCTAATATTGACAATGATCTGTTGATGCTTGCAGCTTCTTTTAAACTTTCACCCTCAGAACATGAGCTTTTCTGTCTGCAAAGCATATAGCAATACCCCTATGGTTTGTCAAAATGCACAAGGGACGGTAACAAAGCTGATAATAATTTAATCACATCAAGTTCCCCTCTCCTTACCTTTCAGAACCTGCTAAATCAACCAAGTTTAACCGTGCAAAACTTAGGTTAGTTGTGGAATCCTTTTCCCATCTTCTCTCAATTACACAAGTAAACACGCTGTGCGATCTACTGCTCTCTCTGTTCATATTTGTTGCGGTCACTTTCCTATTTCAAGGAGCCTACATCCAACAAATGATACATTAGTGGAAACCAGTACATACAAATCCACTCATAAACCATCAAATGTTAGAATGATAAAAAAAATACCTTTGTTAAAAGCTTTATTATGTCGCTTACTGTATGTACTTCAACCTCTGAGAGATTCTCCACATAGACACCAGCCTTGACATCCTCCCTTAGCTGCAGGGAGAGGCGTACCATGATAATTGACAACTATCCATTAGTTGATATTAGACTCATATCAATTGATGAAGATGCATACCATTAAATTGGTAGATGAAGGCTCAAGAAGATCAGTAATCTGCTCGTTGTAAATCTCTAAGCAGGAGCACTTGCAACTGTATTGTAGTCTTTCATCTCTTCGGCTTACCTCTTCCTACAATGAAAAACATGCGACTTCAGCACTAGAAAAAATTAGTAAAAAAACAGCATTGCCTCATCCTGTACAACAAAAAATGTTTGTTCTAGACATGTAATAATAAATCTCCCTATCTATTATATACATGTAGTGAGGAATGAGGAGAGAGAGTTAGGAAATAAGAGGGAACTTACAGTTTGGATCCTTCCAAACAAGAACTCGAAAATCCTTGGTACCATTCCATGTTGTATGCTAGTCATTCCTTCCAACCCATCTATTTCGCCAAGCATTGTGAACGTTTTTCCACCTCCGGTCTGCAGGATACACATGAGTACTGAAGGTAGGAGAAATGCGAATAAAGGATAACAAAAGCTGCAAAAAATTGCCTAGGATGGCAGCATAAGAGACCAGCAAACACGAACAAAACCTCTAAAAAGGACTAAGCCGCCTGCAAATTGTGACTCGAAGGGCAAGTATGTTGAAAAAGGGTACGCAATTGTCTCTTATTTAAACAACTAGTTAATTAGCCCGCGAGCAGCTTCGGGACGATATGTTGTATAATAGATTGATGGTTCTTTGTCATTCTACTTGTATAGGTAGCTACATTAATGAGAATTAAAATCAAAGAAATCTATCTTCTTTAAATATAAAGAAACATAAAGTATTAGTAGTTAAACACGAACATCAAATGATGCTGAACTATCCACTCGCATGAATTTCTACTGCATCTCAAAATTCAAAAGCTTTAAGAGAGGCCAAGGCATTATGTAGCAGTTATACATAAATCTGAGCTTGACGGTGAACTTAATTAGTAGTGAAATTAGAGCAATTGGAGGGATATCTTATGTACATTGTTAATAAGTGTAGCGATTATCATCAACTTTCTAGAGTCACTTCTATATGTTATATCAAGCTCAAACACAAATGCAGCATGGATCTGTTACAGATGAAAGTGTCCAAACATGTAAAGTTCGCTAAACCTCATTTAAGCTTCATATTACTGCTCAAAAGACAGAAATAGATTGAATTTAAGATGATTTTGCAATGGTAATTTGGTATTCTAACCTTCAGCTTAGTGGTATAAATATCAGCATAACATCATGTAGTTGAGAGAGGTACAGCGAGGAACAGAAAGACCTCCAATACACAAACAACAAAGAGAATTGGATGACTAACACATCTAGCATATGTAACATGGAGCCAAAGCAACTTATGAGGTTCCTTCCTGTGCCTACTGGTGTTTCTGTTCACCATCGAAGATCCTGTCAAATCCAGGTGCACTTTAAAAATAAAACAGGTTTTCACAAATCTAATAATGGTTCTTTATTAGCTTACAATTCCCTTATAATGACAGAACTTTTCTCTTCCTAATCGGTGTGACATTTATGGAGAGGTAGAATATACAATTTAAACTTAATAACCTTCCCTAAGGATATTATGTTTCTCTCTAGCAACATCAGGACTCCATGACCTGAACAGTCTTGACCCTTACACACCATGGAAGCAAGTTTTCAAGTAGATTCTTCCCATCCCCCACACCTCTCTACAAAAATCTAAAGTGTAACTTAGCCCCAAAGAGCTGCAATCAGTTCCAAAGAAATCAGAGTACTCGATCAATTAGCGAAAAGAGGGAAACCCCAAAATCGAACCTATAGCTTGTTCAAATCCTTGAACTTAGAAAAAGAAATCTCACCTTCGAAGTAGCATACTCAAAGAGTACTCTATTAAAAAAATTAAAGTAGAGCCACCCCCAACAACATGCATCATGAGATCAAACAACTCTTAATTCTTACTGAAGCTGGCGGCACGAAAGCCTTCTGTGGGTTCTGAAAATTCATCATGATGTTCCTTCGTATACCTATTAGTGTTCTTTTTCAAAATTGAAGAACATGTCAAGCCAGTGCGCACCCAAGAAAAAAGAACAGGTCCTCACAAATCCAATGGTACTTTGCATGTGGGAAGAGCAAACTTCCATGTGCAACGGTATTGATTAAGAAGTCGCGCTGCTATCCAATGACATAGTAAACGATCTGTTCAAGAATACACTGTGATTCTAAATATCTTTACTTTCAACATTACTTTCAAGACCACCAGCTTAGATTCTTGTAAGGCACAAAGGTTATCGCTTGGATACATTTCAACATTGGAGAACATGAAGATCATATAACCAATTCTGCAAGCTAATTAATAGCTTAATATCTGGCATAATAGTGCTAAGGGTCGTTTCCACTAACATAAAAAGGATTAATCAAAATCAAAAGCACTCATACGCGTGATGTCACTGTGATTGTAGAATACATATGCAAGTTTATCCTAAAATCCTAACATAAAGTCGTTCTACCAATTGGAAACGTCAAGAATCCAATCTCCAGCTATAGAACCTCATAAGTAAAGCCTACGGGCTAAGAACTAAACTGCAATTCAACAACAAATACAATAGAAGGAATCATCCAGTTGGAGGACAAAGATTACCAGGAAATTCTATTGGATACTATGGTGATTAAGGAGAAGAGAAAGCTGGGGGCTTACTATACAGCCTTGAAATGGACAGAGTAGCAAAGCATATATAGGATCTTCCCCTGTGCTTAATCTGCCCAAAGGGCTATACATGGGTTTACAGTGCAACCGCTCACATCTGAGTTAAAATCCTCCGTGAACAGTGGCCTCGAAAATTTCGTGATGAACAGTGGCCCGAATATTTGGGAACTTGCATTTTAATAATTCTAATATGAATACTTGAGACAAAGTATTTCTAATCACAAATCAACAGTGATATTATATCACTAAAAAGTCAGCAGAACATTCAATGCTACTACACGGAATTAAAACAGACTACGGAGACTCAAATTTATCCATTCCATGAAGCTAATTGTTACACTACTGTATAAAATTCTAAAGCAGGTAACATGATAAAAAAAATTACCTGTCCGTAAGCGACTATGCAACTATTGTGGCCAGATAAGCAATTATCCACCATTGGAAGACCGATCGTCCTAAAAAGCATTTCCTGAAATATAGACAGTCAAGATCCGGTTAACTTGCAAAATCTAAAATCTGAACCTTTGCCAACATTTTCGAACCAACCTGGTCAATTGTCTCACAAGCAACCTGGTCGAATGAGAACCGGTGTTCTGGTTGTCCAGTCCAGGTGATGTTATGAGCACTTTCTTGTTTCAAACATCTAGTAAACCCATCCGTTCTCCTCTCCGTGCTGTTTACAGGCCGCACTCGTACAACAACCTGTACAAACCAATTGGCTTCAAATTGACAAAAGCTTTATTGAAAGGACAACCAACAGACTAAATACAAGACTCCTACCAGCAGCTTCGGATCCCACTAACAACTAACAATCCCATTTCCCCTAATTTTCAGCACCCACAACTAACTACCCTGACTTAGTAAACTAAGACTATTACTTGACTCACCAATTGGGTAGCTGGACAAACACACAAATATATTTAACTTCAGCAAATAACTTAAAACGACACAACAAAGCTAAGACCTCGTATGCGGCATGTGACCTTTATCCCAACATATCCTTCCCTAAACAGAAGCCTTTCAAGACTTCAGTTTTTTTTTTTTTGGCCAAAGGTATCCCACAAGGTGGGAGACAGGAAGATACGAAATATAAGTACAAGACTTTTGCAGGTTAAATCACCAAAGATAAATAAGGAAGAAACGTCGGAAAATCCAATGATAAGAGGGCTTTTTTGCCACGATATGGGCAGCCCTAATATACCTACACATTAACCGAGTCCATATCTGTGCTTCAACCCTTTTTAGGATGAAAGTGATGGACCAAACTCCTGTTAGGATTCAGTATAGCCCACACAGACATTGAGAGCCGCCCACCTACAAAAAAGAGCAAACAGACTACCCCGAAAGGAGGCCAAACAATCAAATGAAATTACAAGAGAATAAGCACCTGAAAGTTGCTGCTCAAGCTTAAGAAATGGTCGAAAAGCATACCCCAATTTGATCATTAAATTTATAGTTAGGTCCACCACTCCACCTAGTTAGCAAAGCCAAAAAAATTGGTACTTAAAAACGCATAAAAAACAATGAAGCTTAAAATCATTAGCACCTATGAACGGATAACACAAACAATTGGTCAACGACCATATAAGCAACAACACTAATAATCAAAAGATTGTTTTTTTAGAGTGAATATATCAGAATCAAAAGATCAACAAAAAATATATATATAAAACCACCCTCACCAACACCACCAAAGCAAGCTAGGAAAAAATAAAGGCAAAATAGGCAAGAAACGATACCGCCTCATATTTCCATTTAAAGCACGAAAAATCAAGCAAACCCAATCAAAAGAGCACAGAAAATAATAATAATAAGAAAATCTAGACCCAATCAATTAATTTAAAACTGAAGAAGGGTTGAAAAAGTACTTGCTGCAACATCTGTTTTGTTTGCTGCTGTAGAAGGATTACTGCTATGACTTTGCTATGGTTGAAGAATTGTTGGTGATGCTTTGGAGGTTATTGGAACAAGCTCTTAAGATGTTATTACAATGGTTGAGATTGGTAATTGATGAATTAAAAGGCTTCAGTTTAGGGGAGGCTATGTTGGTTTTAAGGCTAATGTATTTTGGAGTCTTTATGTGTTTCATTTTGAGTTATGCTGCGTCGATTTTTGTTAGGTAGCTCTTTTAGGTTTTTAAGTTGTATAAGGTCATAACTGTTTGTCTGTTAGCTAATTTCAAGGGGCTAGAATTAGTGGGCTAGAATGTGGATAGTGGCTGAAACAAGTATGCTGTATTTTAAGCTTTGTTTTGTCAAATAAGTTTGTCAGTGTGCTCCTAAAATTGGGTTCTACAAGCTTTACTGCAGTGCACGATCGCTCAAACAGCTTTATCCTTTAATCTCTTCGTCTATCATAATTGTAATTACAGTTTCCATGTTATGGTCGGGAATAATTACCCGAACCATATACACTTATTAAAATAATGATTAGTAAACAAGCAATATTGCCCGGAAGTCCACTCGAAAAGAGCTGCAAATGAAGCTGATTGAGTAAGTTCCTGGTTATCTACCTTTTAATTGTTGAACAACACAATAGGCCTGCATAAGATAGAATTGAAAATAACCTATGCTGAATCTATCTCATTTCCAGAGTCTGTATTCTGACTTAAACAATTAACAAGCTTTGCTAGGGTCTGCCACCATCATGTATTTGTTCTGTATTTTCCATAAGACATCCCCTTTTGTATTTTGAATTGATGTAGGGGTGATATTGTCAAAGTTGTTATATGGGGAAGAATCATTGCACAGTTCGATAAGATAGTTGATGATGCTGGAGTAAGACAGATTATACTGGTTGTAACTGCGCTTACTGTGAATACATTCAAGGGTGAAGTTATCGTTAGTTCCTTGTGTTTGTGTAATATGCTATGGATGAGCATATTAATCTGATTTTTTTATCAAACATAGGTGAATTGTCATTTTCTTCCTCGGGCTCCACAATTCTGTATGATACCCTTGATATCCCGGAAGTAAAGGCCTTTACAGTATATGCCTTTCCTCATTTTCAATCTTTTCTTTTCCTGATTTCAGAACCAGAGGTACCAATCTTTGTTGAACAGCCTGCAGCTAATCAATCTCCTATTGTTTCCCTCCCTGAACTTTTGGGATGATAGGACAACCCAGACAATGAGGTTAATTCTAATTGCTTTTATTCCCTAAGTCATTGTGCCTGCCATCATTATCCATTTATTGAAATGATATTTAGTGTCAGAAAATGGTATTTGTTGTTGAGTGCAAAGTTGTTGGAATCGAGCGGGGATGGTGTTACATGGGCTGCCCTAACTGTGTGTATAAACCCATAGAAAGGCAGGGCCAATATTTCTGTGTCCAATGCAACAAGACTACACCAATCAAAGCTGCTAAGTAAGGATCCTCTATATGAGTTGAAATTTATTTTTCAGTGATTCCACCAAATAAAAACCTTAAGTTGCTTTCTTTTTATTTCTCATCCTATCAGATACCGTGTCCAGCTTGAGGTACAAGAGAATTCCAGCTCAGCGACCTTTGTCGTGTTTGAGTATGAAGCTAAACGCTTCTTTGGAATCAGTGGTAATGGACTTTTCAATTAAGTGTGGACAAAATACTGATTCACCTCCTGAAGAACTCTTGAAGCTACTGGATGTCACTAAGCAATTCCATGTGAAATTCAAGATAAACACTTACAATGATGCTCAAGCTGATTTCAGTGTGGTGAAAATACTGTATTCCATAACACAGGTCAGCTTACTATTATCCCTACAATTCTTTTTTTGTTATAAAACATTGCCTCATTTTGAGAATTATTTTTATGCACGACTACAACCATGGGATGTATAAAGTATTTACAGCACATAGTTGTACTATATTTCCCCTTCATTATGTATGGATAATTTAATCATTTACTTAGGCCAATGTTATTGATCCTCTTCTTCTATCACCAGTAGTATTGAGTCCTCCGAACCCTCCCCTTATCAATCAAACCAAATGCCCAACCAAGAAGAATGTGTGGAACTCCAGTATTAGCATCTGCAGCTTCTGACAACAAACTCAAGAGAAAGATGTCCTTCGTTTGACATTCTGATGTTTCCAAAGACAGTATCAATTGGATGTCTTGGCCCTTCATTGGATTTCAGCTTAATTCCCTAGGTTTTACTTCATGAGTTGGTTTCAGACTGTTTCGTGCATTCTGGAGTGAGTGACAGTCTATGACTCTATGTCCATCCTAAGAATTCAAATCCATGAACATAGCACTCAAGACTTATTTGTTCCATAATTTAAAGGATTATGTGTTAGCTTTTCGTGGTTGCTTCTTATTTGGTTCCTTTTTAAGTCGATTGCAAATCTGGATTGGGATTTCCAGGTCTGGTTTGTTGTTCTAATCAGTGCTGATAGGTATATTGGTCATAGCCTTTGGTCTTCTTCCAACTCCATGTATCCTCTTATTTTTCTTTCTTGCACTATGTTGGCTGTTGGAGCTTGGAACACTTGGAATTCTCTTTATTGTTTGTATTTTAATAGGTTGTATGCTTTTAATGATTCTTTTTCCCAAGAAAAGGGAAAAGATTCAAGGTGAAGATGGTGAGAATTGAGAGGCCCGTCCAAGTTTATTATGAAATGGGAGTTGTCTGAAAAGTTTGAAGATTTGGAACAATAGTAACTATTTCACATCAGTGATACACTGATATTGCCATTGCAGAACTGAGTTTTATTTTTTGGTCTGATAAAATATCCGTCCTCATTTATATTGCCACGCATAACTGCCCTAGTTAACATGGTTGAATGAATCTTGATTTTGTTTAATTATTAACCGTGATTATTTTGGTCAAATAGGGTGGGGAGCCTCGTTGTTGCTGACCTTGTCCATGGTTCTGATGGATTGAGGAACACATACTTGTCACCACCAAATGCAAAGAAAAGTGAGAAGAATGCTGCTGAATTTTTAGTTGACAAGGCCTCTGAGTTCCCTGGGGAAGTATCTGTACTTGCAGTCTTTATAAAAAGGGCATCTCTTTGATCAGGCGATAAAAAGGGACTACTCATTTGCTAGCAAAGTGAAGAAAATTGTAGTTCTTGGAGGAGCCTTCGTTGCTCTGGGAAATGTAAACCCTGCTGCTGAAGCCAATGTAAGTTACTGTCACTTGTCTTTCTGAAACCTTGTTGTTATCAAGTTATTAAGCATTTTCTCGATGCCTTGCAGATATATGGAGATCCAGAAGCAGCAGACGTTGTATTTACATCTGGGGCAGATATTGTTATAGTTGGAATTAATATCACAACTAAGTTAAATTTATGGGTAGAAAACCAGAGATTCCATTCGCTCTGCTTCATGTCTAGTATTCTTTCGCCAAATCGCAAGTCAAAAGCTATCAGTATTACTTATGTTCTATGTTTGTTTGCAGATGCCAACCATACTGAGTTGCGGGATTCGAAAGGGAAGTATGCTCAATTAATATGCAATATATGTGCAAGTTCTATAGAGATTGGCATGTAAATTCTTATGGAATGCGTGGTAATAGTCCTCCAAATCTCTTCAACTAGTTAGCGCCTGAGAATAGTTGACGTTCCATAGTAGAGTTCACATATAACATTATATATAACTCGGTTTCAGGAATTTTTCTGCACGATCCAGTGAGCTTTATGGCGGTAGTTCGGCCTGATCTCTTCACGTACCGGAAGGGCGTAGTGAGGGTGGAGACTCAGGGCATCTGCATTGGCCACACCCTAATGGACCAAGGCCTTAAAAGGTAGGCCAACTCTCTAGAATTTGAACCATAATCATTCCTTCCTCTTTGAAATTTCAGTCAGCATATTAAACACCCTTTGACTGGTGTGATTATGGTTTTAGGTGGAATACTCGCCTGTGGCAGTTGTTGCATTTCGTCGATACCACTAGAATCAATTCACGCAATAGAGTGCAGTTCTCCATTTCTACCAGGTACTGTGACTTCTGTCCTCTTTTAGTGTGTGTATTCCTCTATTTGATCAAATTAATTCTATAGTAATCTAACCATCTTTTTCATGAATGGTGCATAAGATAAGATGGAATTCAATGGCATTCGCGACCTTGATTCCGAGAAGCAAATATGGTCAGGTCATGTTGTGTTTCTAGGCTATGGCTTGGAGTGAATGTTACCACAGACAAAGTGCTCCATTTGGACCTCATCCTCATGGATTCGAAGGTAGTCCTCTTCTGTATTTCCTATCAGACAGCTGCATATGTCAATTCGCCTGCTCATTTTTGTTTCCTGATATGAAGGGCAACGATATTTGGGTACATATCCCTCCTCTGTTGCAAGAGAAGTTCAAGCGATTGCCAAAGGAACACCATGTTTACGTTATCAAGAACTTTGATATCAATGCAACTTCATTGACACACCGGCCTATTTCCAATCCGTACATCATGTTATTCACTCGGAAGACGACTGTTGAACATATCACTGACATTCCTTCCATGCCTACCTTCAAGTTCACGTTCATGAAAGCAAGTGAGATGGCAAATAAAGTGGAAGAAAAAACCATCATCGCAGGTTAATTATGCATTTCATTCTGTTTTCTCAGGCTACTGACCCATTAATTGCATCTCATATCATGTATTTCTTTCAAGATATTGTTGGCGAATTAGTTCAACATTCGACTCCCATCACTACAAGCAATATTGCCGGGAAGTCCACTCGAAAAGAGCTGCAACTGAAGCGGATTGAGTAAGTTCCTGGTTTTCTAACTCTTAAAAGGCTTTAGAAAAAAAGCTTCACCACGTAAGCCTTCATTGTCTCCCCGCGATTTTCGGAAATGCATATTTTTTCGGTTTCTTTTTTGTTTTGGGTATTTATACCATGGAACAGAAGTACGGGACGGTGGTTAATTTTTCTTCTTCTTTTCCCTGATATCTCGCATATCACAAGGGGATCTTCCAATTCCGATCCCTCTTCCCGAGCATCTCCATCAATGCAATTGTAAAAGAAATTGCATTTGTGTTTTTTATTGTCAACTCAATTTTTTTGCAATCCACATCACATTCATTTCATTCACCTACATCAATGCAATTAACTTGAAATTGTAAATGTAATTAAATATTATGTTTAAATTATAGAAAATTAAGTTAAAGAGAAAAGAAAATAATATAAAGTAAAAAATCCCATTTTTTTAGGCTTTTTTGACTTGCATATGGAATTGCATTTGTTGCAAGTTTGCAAATATGTCATTGGTAGCCACATCATTACAATTGATTGTGCAATTGCAAACACCTAAGCCATATCATTTTGCAATTGAGAATGCAATACCAATGTGGATGCTCTTATCCTCCACCCGCTACCTCAACTCCCAAATAATCTGTCGCTGCCCGCTGCTAATCATACTCCTCGATCTCAATCGCAATTAGGCTTCCTCTACAGCGACGACGGTTGGATCTCCGAGCGCTCTTCAGTCTCCCAGTGTCGGCACCGTTTCTTCAACCAGATGGGACTCTCTCCTCCGAGCAGTCTTCTTCCTTATCCCGCTGCCAACCTGCAAGCCTGTAGATTTGAACTTTCCTTCATCCGTGCCGATCATTTCCCGCCCAGCCGCTTGGCTCTAAGCAATGCTGCTAGGTTTATGGCATTTTGTTCTTTTGTTTTTGGTTTCTCTACACTGGAATAACACCAATGGCTTATGAATATGAATGTGTATGTTTAATATAGGTAATGAATTAAAAAATGTAATTTGGAAATGGGAATTTAACATCACGTTATATATATATATATAGTTATGTCTTCGGTCACTCACTTTTTTGGGTGCATTCAATGCACCCGCCTCATAATCGTCATTCTGAGCAGACGATTCATGTGAAAACGATGTCAATCATCCCTTGTAGTATGATGAACAAGAACCACATGAATTTGTACAAAAATCAATCAAGGTTCACTTTGATTTGAATGATTCAGGGTTTAGGAATTTAGGGTTAGGGTTAGGGTTTACAATTTGGGATTTTGGGTTTAGATTCAAAATTGAATGTTAATAGGTTAGGGTAATGGGTTGATTAGTTGTGATTTTATGTTATATCATCATATGAGACTAATGCTACCCATTAAATTTTAAAATTTGATGTATTATGACCATTTTTAGAGGTGGGTGCACTGAATGCACCAAAAAAAGTGAGTGCACCGAAGTAGCCACCATATATATATATATGGGTGGTGTCTTGGATGCACTTCATATATATATATGTGACATTTGAGTGTTGATTAGTATTTTTACTATTTTGCTCTTCATAGGTTAAAAAGCTTCTTAAACCATTTTTAATTCCATGTTTCAATGCTCAATATGTTTTTTCATAAATTATTTTGATGTATTACTAATAAATAGGTACAATACACATGGTAATTTTTTTAGAGATATTATAGATTGATTGACTCATATAAAATGTAACAATTTTGACCTATGCATGATATTGAATTATTGATATGTTTGTTGAAATGAGACATATAAGTAGTACACTGTCCTCCATGATTTAGGTTGAATAGTTTATTGGGATTTTTTACTAATTTGGCTAAAATATTGTTATAATCAATTTATGCGTATAATAAAAATGATATTTCATATATTTATAAATTACTTTGTAAAAGATTAAAAATACTACCTGCCCAAAGGGCAGGATCGAAGCTAGTCAATAATAAGAGAACAACTCGGCCAATAGGTCAGGTAGAAAGATAGTTTAATTGATGGCGCAAAGGAAAAGGAAAAAAAAAAAACGTTTCCAAGGGAGGTAGGCGTACAGTCAGGGAAAATTGGGCTTCTATTTTGACAAAGGCCCGGAAAAGTTATTTAATCAAAAGCCCAAATTACAGAAAATCCGATGGCGTTCTAGGAAGGAGGCATGCCCACGACCAGTGAAAATGAGAAATACTTGCACAATGAAGAAGTAGGTTTCAGTCCGAAATGAGAAACGGCTCGAAAAGCTTCATCTTTATTTAATTGAAGGCCCAAAGGAAATATAACCGACAGCGGTTTGGAAGGGAGATGGGAGAAAGGTTGGGCTAAAGTGGGCTTCCTTTTGACAAAGGCCCAAACAAGCTTATTTTCCATTTAATCAACTCGACCGAGCAACCTCGTTCGACACCGGCCTTCGCACCATTCTTCTCTCTCTCACCACAACTCCGACGGCATCCAGCGCCGGCGTTCAGGCCACCAGAGGCCGTCCGACGACGGTGTTAGGACCAAGGTTGGTGACGTGTCCAGGCGCGATAGCGAGAAGTTCAACGACCTAGCCTTCTTCAATACAGGCGGCAGCTACTTCTAGTCGGCGGCGGGTCCTTCAAGAGGGCGGCGGGTAACAAAGGAACAAAACGGAGAGACTGAAAACCTAGTTCTTGCTTTCTCATTCATCAAATCCGCCTCTTATAGGCTTAGCAAACCATACAAACAGACAAGCTTCCATGGACATTGTTTGGTAGCTTGGAAAGAAAACCAAGTCTGACTTGGAGTAAAAGGAAGTACAGCTTAAAGAAGAAAGAAGGAAACGACAGCGCATCATCTGTTTCTTCAGACAACAAGAATGAAACGGCAGCGGAGCAAGTGTATCTTCTTCAGTGATGGTGAAACGACAGCGCAGCGGCATCTCATCTGTGACGAGGACAAAACGACGATGGAGAACCAGATGACCGTTGAAGTTGAGATTTGATTTCACTCTGTTAGCGGGCGGAGAGGGCAATGAGAAAGGAATGCAGGAGGGAGAGTATAGGATTAGGGTTAGAATGGTCATTTTCTATGCAACTGTGGGCAAAAATAGTAATATGACGGGCAACAAATATCACGTCTCTACAAAAAGTTTATCTCTCCTAAAACTATCAGTGGGGTGTGGGACAGTATTCCAACTCTCTCTTTTAGATGTTGGGGCTTCTTTCACAATTTGTGATGGCAATTGGGTGGAGCGGAGCGGACAAATACGAGTTGAGGCGAGAGATTGATCGTAAAGTCAAGTGTAATTAATTGAAGAAACTATAAAATAAGAGAAATATGAATACATGTTTAAAGAAATTCTTACAAAAAAAATATTTTGAGAAATTGAGATATAATGGGCTAACAACAGAGCGAGGAGGGTAGGTTGTAAGTGGATGCACATGCCCGCCACAATGTACTGCAAGTCCAGTATTACACGAAGGGACGAGTTCAAATGGCCACTGATTCCCCGGAAATTCGGTCTTCATCTTAACTCTTGATATGAACTGTGATATTGTTAATTGCCAACTAGATATGATTCCTATTAAAGTTAAAAACCTCCCCGTCAACAAATTCCCTCTCTTTTGGTACATCCATCAAACCAACTAAGAAGTCCATATATTTCAACAAATTGATAGACACCTTCTTTGACTTCTCTACGGAAAGAATTGTGAATGAACCTACAAAAATCGTGCTCCAGAAGAACATAAGTCGCGAATTTTTTGCGGTTCCTTCCAAGTTTGCGATTCCAAGCTCGAAAGCAAGAGCGCCTACCTCTGTTTCACAGATTGTGTGACCAAAGTTCAGTATTGGATTCGGCTGAGGTCGACGATCAAGCTCTTTGCTCTACCTACTGGTCGGATTTGCTATTTCAAACTCTTGGTATGTGTAATATTATTATAAAAAATACACGTTAGACTTTGTTTACCATAGTTGATTTTCGAGTTTGCCCATTCATTAGATGCATGGTAAAATAAATAGATGATACCATGAATTTATTGTCAACTCTAGTCATTAATTGATGTTATTCTCTAACCTCGTCTTATATACACTTGACTGAAATTTTTTAGTAATTAGGGATGACAACAAAACCAGAATTTGTGGGTATCCTATCTGATTCAACTCTATCAAAATGCTTACAACACGCATTGACGAATTTTGAGTCAAGTTTGGATTGAAATTCGTTGCACTTGTACTATTCAGCAAATTGAATTGGGTTTGGAATTAGGGATATCCAACCCATAAATACCCGCACACACCTAGGGTTGGGCAATCGATTTCAAGTTAGTGGGTAACCGTCGTTTATAACCGAAAACCGTTGGTTAACTGCTAACCAAAAATCAATGCAAAGGTGGCGCCGGTCGGTGGTCGTTGGGAATTGAGAGGAGACGGTTAGCCGAGTAATCGGATGTAATTAACCGCGATTACTCGGCTAACTGACCTCCAACCGAATATGCAAATAATTCCCCATTCGACCTTCCCCCAGCCCCCAGTCCCCCACAGTCGAACAAGAACCCTAAAATCATAAACCGAAAAATCGTCAAACTCAAAACCCTTTCCTTTCTTTCCCGTCGTGCCTCCGCCCAAGCCCCCATCACAGATTCGCGTCGGTACCGTGCCTCCACCTCTTTAGTTCCTCTTCTTCGTTCCGACTTTCCCCGTTTCTCGTCGCACCGCGCTCCGTTCCTCGAGACCCAACAGAGCAGTCGAGCACGGGTTCTGCCTTCCTTCCCCTCGCAGTTCTTCCTTGTCGTCGGACGCCGATCGTCCTTCGCCGTCGAGAGCAACAATAGAGCAGGCGAACGCATTCCTGCTGCTACTTCCTTCCATCGCTACCAGCCCACCACCAATCATTGCCACCACCCACTGATTTTTCAGTTAGTCGATTAACCGCAGTTCACACTAGTAACCGACCAATCGATGGTGTGGTTATCTAATATTAGGCGTTGGTCAGTGATCGACATGAGTTTTATTGTTGTGTGACGAAACAAAATTGACACTTCAATTATCAATTAGACCGAAATCGACCGAAGCCCAGCCCACTGCCCAGCCCTACACACACCCACAGATATGGCTAGGAAAATAGACCAGACCGTTAGAAAAACCGTGGTCCAAACCGTACCGCATAGTTTGGTCTGGACCGTAGACTGTTAAGTATGGTCTGGTCTAGTCCACGGTGTGTATTATTTTATATTTTGATCTCTTGGTCTGGTCTGGTCTAGACCGCGGTTTACCTGACCAAACCGTGGACCCAACCGACTTGTCAATACGTGTTAATAGCCCATTCGATCACTCTCCCAACTCCCACAACGACACCCAAGCCTCAACCTTACTTTTGAGAATCTCGTCCCTCATTCATTCACAACCACATTTAACCAGAGAGTAGAGATAATCGTGTCTACATATGACATTATGTTAATGTTTATAACGTTATGGTGCAAGTTGGGAATGTCCATGGTCAAGAAAACTATTCATTGGAGAGCAGGTAATGTCTTATACGCCCCTAAAGAGGAGGGAGGTCTCGGATTCCGTCCCTTTCATACCTTCAATCTCGCCCTCCTGGCCAAGCAAGCTTGGAGGATTCTTACCAACAAGGATGCTCTGTGGGTTAAAGTCCTAAAGAGTATTTACTTCCCCAACTCTGATTTCCTGAATGCAAAGAAAGGCTGCAGAGCTTCCTGGATCTGGGCCAGTATTTGGGAAGCAAAAAAATGGATGCAGCGGGGCTTGATACGAGTTATTGGCAATGGCAAAACCACGAAGATCTTCCAGGATCCCTGGAAATTTGATAGGTCGGGTTCCCTTCTCCCCTTTGATTGGAATGATAACTCTACAGTGGACAGTTGGATTGAGGAACTCTCGAGAGAATGGAAATTCGATCTGCTTGCCAACTTCCTGAGCCAGCAAGACCTAGAGCAGGTGGCAGCGATCCCGATTGGACCGGACACCCTGGAGGACTTTTGGGCTTGGAGGTTTACTGATGAGGGAAATTTCACGGTGAAATCTGCCTTCACCCAGTTACATCGACAAAACAGAAATGACAGAGGACGAACCGAGGAGCTGACAGACGCAAGCAGGAAAAGATGGAAGTGGCTTTGGAGCCTTTCTATCCCTCCGAAGCTTAAGTTTTTTGTGTGGAAGGTGACGAGAGGGGCGCTGGCTTCAAAAGAGAATCTGTTTGCGAGAAAGTGCGCCACCTCAATGGCTCCCCGATCTGTGGATGCTCGACAGAGTCAATTCACCACTTCCTTTTTGCATGTCCCCATGCAGCAGAGGGCTGGAGACAAGAGTGGCCTTCTCTTTCCCGACCTGCACCTCTCTCCTCTATCCTGGAATGGCTTGACTCTCTTAGACAGAGTTACCCAATTCTGGCGATCCAGAAGATCATTTTCCTCGGGTGGCAGACATGGAAAACCAGGAATGAGAAGATTTTTAGAGATACGAAGACATGGCCACCTGCTACAATCTCGAGGGCGGCGGCAGCCCACCTACAATGGACCACATGCCCGAGGAAGGTCTCTGAAGGTCCACCCCCGACTCAGCCTATTTCACCCCAGCAACACTCCTCACCACCGCCAGGTACTCATCACTTTGAAGTACACTGCGATGGCTCGTTTTATGATGAGCCCCAGAAGGCGGCATATGGCGTCGTGATTTCAAACAGCCATGGTCAGGTTTGTGATGGTAAGGCCGAGCACATGCATTGCTTTTCCCCACTTGAAGCAGAAGCCACTGCCCTGTTGGAGGGCGCACGGATGGCAGCCTCCCTTGGAGCTCCATGCCTTTTGAAGTCAGATTGCCTGCAGTTGGTGAAGGCGATACAGAGTGACCCAAAGAAATGGCCCTGGCGAGCGGCAGCTAGGCTGGGCAACATCAAGAACATTCTGGAAGGAAACCCGTCCATCAATTTGCATCATTGTTACCGGAAGAACAACTTCAAGGCTATTTGGGTTGCTAGATCTTGTGCTAGGAGTCAGTTACCATCCCAATGGTTACATATTCTGGATGTAATTTCTCCACTGCTGTAATGACTGGCTTGTGCCACAAGTAATGGAAATCAGTGTCCTTTGTCAAAAAAAAAAAAAGATTTAGGGTATCAAAATTATTCATGCTTGTTAAGATTAATGTTTTAAGACAAATAACAATTATTTTTCTTGGTTATTGGTTCAATTTTTTTTGTGGTTAACTAAACAAATTATTTATTTTTCGTTGAGTGTGGTCTATCTGGACCAAACCGCACATACGTGATCTGAACCGAACCGTATAGTCTGTGGTCTGGTCTATAATCAATACTTCATTACTTCAGCCTCTCGATCTGAACCAAAGACCGAACCAAAGACTGTATAGTCTGGTCTATGGTCTAGACCAGACGCACCATTTCCCAGCCCTAGGACACATATCCCTTACCTCTTTAGTGCTTTAACCCTAAAATTCCAATTCCTAAACTAAATCCGCCGCCCCTAACACTTCACTCTCTCTCGAATCTCGATCTCTCCAACTCCTACAGCCGGCGCCCGCCGCCCTCCTAGTCTCTCCGCCTGCCCCGTCGACCATCGGTCACCCTCCCACCCTCCTTGAACCCACCAGGCGCCGTCACCCTGCTTCGGTTTTTTTTTATGGTTGTGGTGAGGAAAAACTCGATCTGTTCATGCAATCTTCTCTTCAATATGTTACCAATCTGTGGTTGTGATATGTTATTCGATATGCTCTTCAATATTGTTGGGTCGTGGGAACGACAAACACAACCCAGGGCTCTAACTTTCAATCTGTTAGGATCATTGGTCAAAGCCGATATGTTCATATCACAGTGGGTGACGGCAAACACAACCCTGGTGGCTTTAAGTTTCGATCTGTTCTGCATCTAGCTTTCTATAAGTTTTGATATGTTCATATCATTGTCCTGAATAGATTCTGTCTACAGCTCAATCTGTACCTAGCTAGCTCAATCTGTAATTTTGTGATGTTGTTGCAAAGCTAAAATTGATCATTAACCTAGTTGCTGGCAGCTTCCCACTGCACAGGTGGTTTTGATTTCATAAAATTTTGTTGGTCTTATGTACTAGATTGATGTTTTTTGTATGGGTGGATTGGTATTAGACCTTTTTTTACAAGAGATTGGTGTTATGCATAATTGTCCATTGAAACTCATGGGTATCCATAAACCTGCAGATACCCAACGAGTTGGGTTGTGTTTGAGATTCAAGAACTAGCTGGATTGTCCCCCTTTATTTTCCGGATAAACCTGTAAGATTGGGTTTGGATTTGGCAGAACCCAACCCGACCCATTGCTTTAGTTATGACTTATGATCCAGTTCTGAAGTTCCATAGCTCATGTACACATACAAATGTATTATGATAAGTTTTTTTCAATATTGCAGTCTAGGGTAGCGGCAAACCACATTTCTATAAGCAGGGTATTTTGATTTTCCCTTCCCTTTCCTTTTCTTCATTTTAACCCGTGAGTTGTTTTTATTTTATTTATTTATTGCATTTTAGTTAATGATTACGAAGGGCAATAAGACATCTACCAGTCTCCTTAATTGACAGTCGCGTTTGTGTGACTGTATCCCAGGAGGCAGGGCGTCGTAAGCCTTTTTCGCGCCGCTGCTTAAAACCCACTATTTTCTTCGTCACCATTTTTCCCTATAAAGGACTGGCTGGCACTTGTTCTACTGTTCACTGTTAGCCGCTGCAGCTGCCTCCTTCCCAGTTGCCCAAACACACAAGAAAAGAAGAACTGGTTCGTTCACATCCCGTCTCACAGCAGGTCGTGGCAAGCAAAGCAGCCATGTCGGGTTTGTATAATCCAAACTTCTCACCAGCAAGAGCTGCTTCTCCTCAGATTAGAACCACTCCTGATGTCGACAGGTAAACCTCCTCCTCTTCCAATTTCAACCCTAGCTATTGTCTCTCCAGAATCCTTGCTCCTAAGAATGATTTCAATTCACGCCCTTTGATCTGCTGATGTACCCCCTTTCTCTCTTGTTTCAGTCAGTACCTCTCTGACCTACTAGCTGAGCACCAAAAGCTGGGGCCTTTCATGCAAGTTCTCCCCATTTGCAGCCGGCTCCTAAATCAAGGTTTGCTTGCCCTTTTCCCCTATTTGGATCTAGTTTTTAGCTTCCCACTCTTGCTGCATCACTTGCTAGCTTTTTTCACTTTTCTACTTTCAAGCTTCCTTCCTGCCTGAGGCGATAACACATTACCCAATGTCATTCACTTTTCTGGATTGCGGGATATCATAATAACCCTCACATTCTGCTTACTGTCCTAACTTCTCTTGCCCTCTGTTGGTTGTCCTGCCGTGGTGCGTCCCCCATTTGTAACTTGATTTCAATCCCCTGTGGATCCTCTCTATCTATATCTCCAATATAGCTGCTAATAGCTTATTTACTGCTTCAGCTCTGTTGAATGTATGGATAAATCCATGGACTATGTCTCACCACCAGTCTTTTTGCTCACAGAATTTTGTGTTACCATCTCTGTTTTCCCAACCGTGAGTAAAGGGTAGTTCCATCTTTTAACAGTTGGAACATTGCAAACGAACACAATTTTCATGAGAATGGCTTTTTTCTTTCTTGTTATTTGTGGTGTTTGGGTTTGGGGACTTGGTTTAAGGCTTCCAATCTGAAAAACCTCCCTACACAAGAAGTTAGCTCAGGATGCAGCTGCACTTCAGTTGATAATCTGGCTGACTTTTGGGAGGGGGGCACACTATAACTCCTTTCACTTCCTAAATAATCTGGCTGACTTTTGTGTTTCATTTGTCACTGCTTGCTGTTCTTTCTTTACTTTGCTTCTTCATGTGGGTGTGGGTCGCAGCCTTTCAGCAGGGCTGGGCTGTGTTTCTTTTTCCCAAAATTTAAGGTAGCAGTTTGTTCGTATGAGGTTTTATGTAAATAAGACTGCAACACGCTTTTTCTCAGACGAAGTGCTCTATTTATATGTGTAGAAATCTTTCGAGTTTCGGGAATGATGTCGAACCAAGGGTTTGGTGACCTAGACAGATTACGACACAGAAGCCCCAGTCCTATGGGATCTTCAAACCTTATGTCCAATGTTACAGGAACAGGGCTTGGTGGATGGAATAACCTTTCCCAAGAGGTAATTCTTCCTGACTAACTTCTAACTCACCAATTAGCATTTGCAGCTGCAGCTGCAGCATGGATGCTTCCTCTTCCTCTCTGTTTATATTCCATATCTTTCCTTCCCTTCTTTTCCTTCTTCTCGTCTTTGGGCTATCCTGTCTGTCCACCATTTGTGGCAGTGGTGCAGCTTTCAGCCACATTGTTTCACATCTTCAGGTGGCAATTAGTGCTAAAGCATAAGGCGTAACAGACATTGACACTTCCCTTAAATTGATAGACAACAAAATCGATTACCAATGCCTACTTAATGCGGGAGCTGTTGGAGTAAAAGTTTCAGTTATACTAACGAGAGATGAAATGCTCATTTATTGTGAAATGGACTACTGGTTTTGTTGTTGGCTTAATTAAGTTTGTGGGTAGATAAGATCAGTATAGATTATGGATATGTTCTTGGTAGATATTTCATGCTTGGGAAGAAGCACCTCTCTCTTTTAGTTTCTAGTATTGATTAATTGGGACGTCCTATGGGTTGAGTCTTGCCTGGTATTATTATTTCCTGTATGTCTACATCATGCAGAAGCCAATGATGTGAATCCTTCCGATAGTTGAAGTTATGAAAATGTAAACACGAGTGTATTCAGAATGTACTTCTCTTTGACGGGTTTCCTGCAAGAGCTTAGTTGTTGCCATGCTTTCAAGATTATTGGCTTTTTTTGTGTTTTTTCATTTGTCAATGAACGAACTCTTTTGTGTAGAGATTAAGTGGACCGCCACCTGGGATGACTATGGATTGGCAAAGCGCACCAGCAAGCCCTAGCTCATATACTGTGAAGAGAATTTTGCGTTTGGAAATCCCTGTAGATACCTTTCCAAATGTAGGTTCAGTTATTCGACCTGAATATGAAATGGTGCTTCTGGTTTTGCATTGTTCTTGAAGACAAATTTGTCAAATAATTCTAATCCTTTTTGTTTTTTTGTGTGTGGCTACTTTTGGTTGCTAGTTTAACTTTGTTGGACGGCTTCTGGGTCCGAGAGGCAATTCTCTGAAACGGGTCGAAGCCACCACAGGCTGTCGTATATATATACGGGGCAAAGGATCGATTAAGGACCCGGACAAGGTAGTGCATATCCCCCACCTTCCTTTGATCGTTGAATAATGCTCTTGGGTATATATTTATATATACTTAGTTTTTGTTTCCTTTCTGTGATCCTTGTCTAATTGGTTAAAATATTTGGTATCAAATTGATATAATGAAGGAAGAGAAGCTGCGGGGAAGACCAGGGTATGAACACCTGAATGATCCACTTCATATCTTGATCGAAGCTGACTTGCCAGCAAATATTGTGGACATAAGGTTGAGACAGGCACAAGAGATTATAGAAGAGCTGCTCAAACCTGTGGTACAGCTCTTATATTACTCTGCTTCTAAATCTGGAAATGGTGGTCTATTTCATGTGGGGGGTGGAGGAAGCAAAGTTTTCTGCTCTTTTCTTGTTCTCTTCTCATTTTACTATTGGTGGATGGAAATGTAAGGCGGTTGTATCATGTATGTGTGTGTTTGTGTTAATGGGTGCAGGATGAATCACAAGATTTCATAAAGAGGCAGCAGCTGAGGGAGCTAGCATTGCTGAACTCAAATTTCAGAGAAGAGAGTCCAGGACCAAGCGGCAGTGTGTCTCCCTTCAACACCAGTGGAATGAAGAGGGCCAAAACAGGGCGCTGACGGAGCTCTTGTATTCTAATCTAGTCTCTGCTGTTTGGGGTGTCATCTTTGTACTGGTCCCTTACCATATGGGTCATGATGGCTGGCAGGCTGGCCTGCCAAACTATACCGTACCCCTGGCGGTTGCATGCACCTGTAATTATACGCCTATTTATCTCCTCCATACCAAATATATAGGAATGAATGAACCAAGGGAATGAACGTGCAGTAAAGGTCATGAGTCGCTGGTTGCTTTTTCTTTAAGGTGAGAAGATGAACATGCTAACAGCTTGGTCTCTTGGTGGGCGGGTCTGCCTTAATTTTTGTGATTTTCTTTATCTGAGAAATCTCTACACAAGTTTGGGGGAGATGAAAAGAGAAAGGAAGAAGGGACAGGGCAGGAGAAGAAGAATCATCAGAGAGGATGAGTATGTGTAGAATCAAATCGTCTCCATGGGTTTGGTTGGTTGGTTGTCTCAGTATAAGGTTAGGGTCAGGTGGTCTAATTTTTTGGTTGAATTTGCGTATTTTAATTCCTTTTATTGGGTGGGGTTGGGGAACAGGTTTCTGTAATATTGATAATGCACTAATTTGGATTCATTTTTGTGTCATCAAAATTTTGCATGTTTGGTCTTATATGACAATTATAGGGTAAATTGTAAGTTTGGTTGTTTACGTAATTTGAAATATTTATTTCCAATGTTCGTCACTCGAATTAGTAAAATGGTTCACGTTTAGTCACTCTCCGTTAGTCTTCGTTAAAGAGTTAGTGAATTGCTGACGTGGCTAATAGAAGTGCCGACTCACCTAATTTTAACCCGCTATATAATCAAACCCGACCCCATGTCACTCAACATGTCATGTCATTTCTCCAATCCAACTTTATTTATTTATTTATTTATTTATTTCTAAGTGATATCAAGAGAGGACAAGAGTTATACAAACGTAACCCCCAACAAGTAATGCCCTAGTAAAACCACCCAAAAAATTTGAAAGACTCTAGCTCTATGAGAGACAATAGCAGTGCTTTACGGCTTACGCGCCACTCTATGGGCAGCACTGTGGCGGCTCTAGGAACCGCCCTAAACTCTATACAAACTGACAAAGAGAATATTGATCTGACGACACTCCCAAAGCACCGGACCTCCAAAGAAAACTTCTAGAACACCTTGCCGGATCTGGTTGACAACCACCTCGCAATCACCTTCCACTAACACGTGTGTCAAGGATCTTGATGCGACGTTGGAGATAACATCTATTAGTGCTAGGAGCTCTGCCAAATAGGGGTTGACTACTCCCTGGTGACGCACACAGGCTGCCAACACCACATGCCCGTCTGTCCCACGGATAACAAGACCAAACGAGCACCCAGAGACACAAACAGTTGCATCGAAGTGGATTTTCAAATAGTCGTCTAGTGGAGGCTCCCAAGAGGCGGGAGGAGGATTGGGAGGAGCGATATGGGGGATGGAGGAGGGGATGGAAATTGGAGACTTCGAGGATCTGGTTGTAGAATTGACTGACGATGATACACACATGAGGTTGGTAGAATTCAAAAGTCACTTTATTTCTAGACTTCCAGATTCTCCAAAGTAAACAGACACATTGGAGAATGTGGAATGGGGAGATCTCAGAGATCATGACATGTCGCCACAATAGACTAAAATAAATAGTCGGGGCCGAATCATTGAAGTTGCTTAAACCCACTATGGACTATAATTGGGTGGCCAGGGGGCATCTGAAGAATAAATGTTCGATACTCTCTCGATGTCTCTAGTAGACCGGGCATCGGTTAAGACATTTAACTCCACGAGATTGGAGAACCAATAGATAGACCACATTGAATAGTAGTTGGAAAGTCCAATAATCAAATAATTGATGAATTAAAGTCCCATAATGGGATTTACCGGCATTTGCCGTTAAATTAGTCTAAAACGGACAAATACTACCAATAAGTGGTGCTTTAATTCGCACCGGAGAAAATGGCACAAACCCAAGTTATGGTAATCATCATTACTATATTTTGTAGGCATAATAAGTATGTATACGTCTTTATTAGATCGTATTAACAAGTCCAATGTGAACTTTAACGGTCTTTCTCTTCAATAAAATTTCCTTTCCATTCTTTTAGTTTGAGTGTTTCAATTAGAGCGTTTCAATTCCCACTATATCCCTTCTGAATTCACAATTGGTATCAGAGCAGGCTCTTTGATTGGAGTAAAATCGTCAAAGAGAAAGGTCTGAGGGATGTCTGGATCTTCATCCAAACCTGCGTCATATTCAGCCAGTACAAATCCTCCGTGGTTTGATGGAACATACTACACAGTCTGGAAGAAGCGGATGAGAATCTATCTCCGAGGAGTGGATGGTGAAATGGTCCCATTCCCATGAAAGAAGAAGATGAAGAGAAATGGGAAGATGAACAGAAGGTGTCATCCCAACTGGACTCGAGGGCTATGCACATACTATTCTCAGCTCTTTGCCCTGAAGAACAGAGTCAAGTAGCTCAATGTGAGACTGCAAAGGAGATTTGGGAGTTTCTTCAGACTACCCACAAAGGTACGTCTGAGGTCAAAGAAAGTAGGATAGATGTTCTCTTAAACGAATATGAATCCTTTGAGATGATTTCTGGTGAATCAATAACAAGTATGTATAAAAGGTTTAACGATTTAATTAACAGGCTTAAGGGTCTAGGAAAAACTTTTATCACAAAAGATATTATTAGGAAAATACTAAGAAGTCTTCCTAGAGAATGGCTACCAAAATGAAATGCCATAGAAGAAGCTAAAGACCTTAACACACTGTCTATTGAAAGACTAGTAGGTTCTCTCTTGAGTCATGAAGAAGTGATCACTCAAATGAACAAAGAAGACTATAGAAGGAAAAAGGTTATAGCCTTCAAGGCTTAAGAATATGACAGTGACAATGACTATGAATTAAGTGAGGAGTTTGAAAAAGAGTTTGCCTTGTAAGTAAAAAATTTCATCGAATGCTAAAAATGAAAAGGGAATTTCAAGCAAACAAAGCTTACAATGATTCTAGGAACACTAAGAGAGATAGAGAGAGCTTTGATCGACCATCTTTTAGATCAAATAATCAAAATCCTTCAAGCAAGTTCTATTCTGAGAAGAATAATCAAAGGTTTTTAGAAAGAACTCCTGAAAGTCGAGAAAGGACTAGACCAGACATTAAGGAAGACCCCAGGTCTTCCAGAGAAAAGGATTTAATGATTTGTTTTAAGTGTGGAAAGTCAGGTCACATGTGCTCGAGGTGTCCCTTAAACTCCAGATCACAAGAAAGAGCTCTTGCTGCCTCATGGAGTGACTTCAACTCTAAGGATGAACATGAAGTAAAAAACATAGCCTATATGGCGTTTGCTTCAAAAAGAGAAAGCGATTCACATTCATCATAATGATCAAGCCTCACCTTAATGCTATCAGGTAATGAATGACTCAAACTCAGAAAAATGCTCTCATTCTGAAACCAGAACTAATTTTTTAAATGCTTTAGCTAATCTTCAAGATGAATGTAATATGTTAAAAAGCAAATATTGTCTGTTAATGACTGATAATCAAGAGATGAAAGTTAAAATCCTTGATCTGAAAAGATCATTGAGCATTCAAAACAAATGCAACAACAAGTTAAACAGAATTTTTTTTCTTAAAGATGAAAACCAAAAGATACATATGTTATGCAGAACAAGATCTGCCGGTTTAACTCAGAACTTTCACCCATATGTAAAACGGACTTCAGTCGAAAAGAATAGGTCTCTTGAACACAATAGTCAAAATGGTGTTCTAAATGACAAGTATAGTAAATATCCTGTAATTTATGTATGTTTCTTTTGCAATAGACGAGGTCATCTAGCTAAGTTCTGCTTTGATTTACAAAAACAGAAAAGGCCTCCTATATTCAAAACATTTTGGGTAACAAAATATACTAACATATAATTGATTGCAGAGTATGGGAGAGAATGATAACATATGGTTTCTGGACAGTGGTTGCTCCCACCACATGACAAGTAAAAATGACCTTTTTCATCTTTAACTTACAAAAGAGGTGGTAAAGTTGTTTTTGGAGATGACAGAGTAGGAAAAATTATGGGAAAAGGAACCATTGGTCAAAATCCCTTTTCAGTTGTTAAGGATGTTTTGTATGTTCATGGACTAAAACACAACCTTCTATCCATAAGCCAACTGTGCAATACTGAAAACAAAGTGGTATTTGAATCTTCTTCTTGTCAAATCATTAGAATAAGAGACAACAAACTTCTGTTTAGTGGAACTAAAAAGAACAATATGTATGTTGTAGATTTAAAGTGTCTTGACACTTTTAAAGAAACCTGCTTTCAAGCAACTATACATGATCAGGAAATGCTCTGGCATAGGAAACTAGGACATGTGTGTCTTCCCAAACTGTCCAAACTGTCTAAAATGAAGTCTGCTCGAGGCATCCCTGTCTTAAAAGACAAGTCAAAGTTTTTCTGTGATGCATGTGCTGGTGGAAAATTGGCTAAAAAGAGTTTCAAACTAAAAAAAAGGATATAACCACTACTGAAACATATAAATTAATTCATATGGATATCTTTGGGCCCACAAATGTAGTAAGTTTAGGAGGTAAGTCTTATGCGCTAGTACTCGTTGATGACTACTCCCGATACACTTGGGTTTACCTACTTGCGTCTAAAGATGAAGCGTTTAGCTATTTTAAGACCTATGTAAACACTGTGTTAAATGAGTCAAAGAATGTTGTTAAGGAAATACGCAGTGATAACGGTGGGGAGTTTGTTTCTGAACAATTTAGTGATCTATGTAGTGATAAAGGGATAAACCACACCTTCTCTGCTCCTAGGACTCCCCAACAAAACGGAGTTGTAAAAAGGAAAAATAGAACCATAATAGAAATAGCAAGAACAATGCTTCTCGAATATGGTTCTCCTAAGTTTCTCTGGGAAGAAGCTGAATGACAGTTGTTTATGTGATCAATAGAGTACTAATAAGCAAAATTATAAATAAGACCCCTTATGAAATTCTTAAACAAAAAACACATAATCTAGGTTATTTTCATCCTTTTGGATGTAAATGTTACATTCTAAACACTAAAGATCACTTATACAAATTTGATGCAAAATCTGACCAAGCTATATTCATGGGATACTCTAGTAAAGGGCAGGCTTATCGTGTCTACAACCTTAGGTCCAAAAGAGTTGAAAAATCTGTTTTTGTCAAGTTTGATGAATCTGTATGTACTAACAAGAGAGATGTAGAAAGTGTAGAATTTCTGTTTCCAGTATCATAAGAAGCAGGAGATACAAAGCATAAAGAAGAGAGTATACAAAAAGAGAACAAGGAGGAACATGAAGAAAGGAATGCTCCTGAGTATATTCAAAGAAGGCATCCAGCATCACAAATCATAGGAGATCTTCATGACAAAATTGTCACCAGAGGTAAATACTATCCAGGTCAGTATGCCTTTGTGTCTTTGCTTGAACCCAAAAACTTTAAAGAAGCTTTAACTGATGATGAATGGCTATGTGCAATGCAGGAAGAACTACTTCAGTTTGCTAGATTAAACGTCTGGGAATTAGTTCCCAGGCCCATAGATAGGATGATAATTGGTACTAAATGGATTTTCCGAAACAAAACTGATGAAAATGGACAAGTTACTAAAAACAAAGCCAGACTTGTTGCACAAGGATACACTCAAGAAGAAGGAATTGATTTTGATGA